AAGTGGTGGCCACCGTTTTATAACTGAAAAATATATCTTTAGGAAGTGGGCAGAATCTGCAAATATTACCTTTCATTATCCATCATGGAACGTTTCACATCAGATCGGTGACGAGCCGTTTTTTATAAAATCATCGACTGATAGGTTTGGGAAAAATACTGGCAGCAGGAAAAGGCAACATTAACAACACTGTGTTGTCCATACAAGGAGATGATAGCAACTCTGTGTTGTCCATAAAAGGAGATGATAGCAACACTGTGTTGTCCATAAAAGGAGATGATAGCAACACTGTAGTCCATAAAAGGAGATGATAGCAACACTGTGTTGTCCATAAAAGCATAAAAGGAGATGATAGCAACACTGTGTTGTCCATAAAGGGAGATGATAGCAACACTGTTGTCCATAAAGGGAGATGATAGCAACACTGTGTTGTCCATAAAGGGAGATGATAGCAACACTGTTGTCCATAAAGGGAGATGATAGCAACACTGTGTTGTCCATAAAAGGAGATGATAGCAACACTGTGTTGTCCATAAAAGGATATGATAGCAACACTGTGTTGTCCATAAAAGGAGATGATAGCAACACTGTGTTGTCCATAAAAGGATATGATAGCAACACTGTGTTGTCCATAAAAGGAGATGATAGCAACACTGTGTTGTCCATAAAAGGAGATGATAGCAACACTGTGTTGTCCATAAAAGGAGATGATAGCAACACTGTGTTGTCCATAAAACCCAAACAGTATTTTAATAAATATGCAAATATGCATCAGTTGATAATCCATTCACGGATTTTTTCACTGTGTTCAAATTATGACATTCACAAATGTATTCTCACTCAAAACATTTTAACCTTAATCAATATTTTATCAAATTTTATGTGTAATATTTTGGGTGTGTCTGTTGAGTCACATGTTGAGTGGATTTTAAATAAATGGTTGTTTTTTTATACACAGTGATTCGGATTAGCAAATATATAAACATAACTTAGCCTTGTTGAAAGATTCAGGTCATATTCTCTTGTGGATGAATGTTCTTTTTGAGGTCAGGTAATGTACTGTGAAATACTTTATTTTAGCTGGAGTCGCTAATTTTTGAGTGTTTTGTATGGAGTTTAATTTCACTGATTTTGGACGAGTTGAATTTAAAACATAGGAAAAAAAAGTATATTCGCTGGATTTTATTTTCACTGAATCATTTCTAAAGCGAAAATAAATTACAAGCGAAAATTAAGTATTTTACAGTATATTAAGGATATTTGAGATAGTTTCTACACCATGGACCCTTTAATCAAACCATGACCGCATCTCTTCCGCAATATTAAAATTGTCCACAGGTATTAATAGATACACATCAGATCACACTTTCAGAACTTGGTGGGTGTAGTATACACTGGAGATTTGTTTTCACATGGTTGGCACATGTCAACATGTACTGTGGACTATATAAATATGTCTTGTGTAGTTGAGGTATCGTACTCTGTGCCTGAAGGTGTCATTGATGGTATTTTCAAAGCTACACAGGTCACTAGTCGTGATCTTTAAGACAGATAACGACTGAGATCAGTTTGGCTGAATGCAGCCTCTAGTATTATGACGCACCAAGCCAAACGCAAGGGACGCTGGGAACAAGCGAATGAGATCATGACACTGGTTGAGATGATTGTGGCTTCTAGTGTTGAGTCTACTTGACTGAAATGAAGTTTGTTCTTTTGCAAGCAGTTAAGTTTCAAGAATCATGATGACATTTTTACAGTATAACACCATTCTTATTGACAATCTCATTTCCGTGGTAATGTAGCTATTTAACAACCTATATGGTTTCCATGACAATGTCAAATTGTAATATTTGTATTTGATATATCAGCACATCATCATCGTGTATCTGTGAGCAAATGTTGTTTGGCCCGACTATTACCATGGTAATGACAGTTTGCTTTGACAGGAATCGTGTCACTTTAGCAGACCTGTATTAATGAGTCGCATGACTGACAGAAGTAACATTAATATTAGTAGTCATACTTTGTGTCATTACAGGCCACTTGTTAAGTCTACTTTTATTTGTGATGCCATTTGGCGTCGTCGCATGTTTTTGTTACTCAAGTCTGTGGGAGGTACCATAGCCCTTCTATGTGGGTAAAAATCATAATATCTGAAAATTAAAGCAGCATTGGCAGGGTTCAAGAAGAATTGTCAGAAAAGTTATCCGCAGATACTCATTGAAATGGGGTGTTGACACCAATATTCCTGCATAATGAAGTGTAAACATGTTAAATATTTCTTTTTATTCAACATCAGCATAACCATGTGACTGATAACAATTTGGGTGTATTGCTTATGCATATTTATTTATATTCATATATGGCCATTTCTTATGTTAGTTGCATCTTTTGTTTGATGCCTTCATTATGGCACTGACTGTATGTTCTGTTCTGCGACAGTGTTACAGATATGACAGTTATGCATGTTAATGAGCTAGCTCACATGACCATATATGGTCATCTGTTATTTTAATCAAATCTCTTGTTCAACATTGTCATAATAACACGGATTTATCTTCCTAACTGCAACAGTGCTTGAGATATAACAGTTATGCATATTAATGAGCTCACATGACCATATATGTTCATCTGATATTTTAATCAAATCTCTTGTTCAACGTTGTCATATTAACACGATTCATCTTCCTAACTGCAACAGTGCTTGAGATATAACAGTTATGCATATTAATGAGCTCACATGACCATATATGGTCATCTGATATTTTAATCAAATCTCTTGTTCAACGTTGTCATAATAACACAGGATTCATCTTCCTAATTGCAACAGTGCTTGAGATATAACAGGTATGCATATTAATGAGCTCACATGACCATATACGTTCATCTGATATTTTAATCAAATCTCTTGTTCAACGTTGTCATATTAACACACGATTCATCTTCCTAACTGCAACAGTGCTTGAGATATAACAGTTATGCATATTAATGAGCTCACATGACCATATATGGTCATCTGATATTTTAATCAAATCTCTTGTTCAACGTTGTCATAATAACACAGGATTCATCTTCCTAACTGCAACAGTGCTTGAGATATAACAGTTATGCATATTAATGAGGTTACAAAAATGCTTGGCCACGGGATATGCGATCTTGTTGTCTTTGACAGTACGCAAATGTTCAACAAAACGATCACCAAATCGTCTTTTAGTCTCACCCAAGTACAGCATATTACACCTTTTACACTTAATACAGTAAATTATGTTGGATGACGTACATGTAAACGAATCTTTAATGTGTATAGTTTTTAAAGGGTCTTTCATGGTCGGACAACACAGAACAAATGGGCATGAACAACATTTACCTCGACCACACGAATGTGTACCAGGTCGCTGATTCGACTCTGACAATGCTGTACGAACCAAATTATCTTTAATATTGGTGCCACGCCATAATAGGGGGTGACGGATAAATATCTTGGGTATTTTAAGAGGAACATAGTAAATCAGATTTTTCAAAAATAATTTTACGAATATGTTGACTGAAAGGGTGGTAGGTAAGAACCAAAGGGGTGCGAGAAGACTGAAAAGTAGGGGTTGGTGTTAATGCATCATCCTGGCTTAATTGCTGAACACGATGTGTGGCACTGTCAATAACAGATTGTAGGTATCCCCGTGACAAAAACCATAAACCCTTTTTATTAATTTGATATTCAAAATCAGTTTATTCAGAACAAACCGGACGGACTCGTAAAAACTGAGAGAATGGCATAGAGTCTTTACAACGTTTAAGATGACATGAATCATACAAAAACGTATGAATGTGAATCAAATATACCGGTATACATTGTTTTATTTTTACACTGGACGTCAAAGCATTGTACACTTCTATCCCTCATGCTGATGGCCTCAAAGCATTGTCATTTTTGACTCCCATGTGCGAAGCACAAAATGGGAGTCTTTGCAGTTAGTGTGTGTGTGTGTGTGTGTGTGTGTGTGTGTGTGTGTGTGTGTGTGTGTGTGTGTGTGTGTGTGTGTGTGTGTGTGTGTGTGTGTGTGTGTGTGTGTGTGTGTGTGTGTGTGTGTGTGTGTGTGTGTGTGTGTGTGTGTGTGTGTGT